CGCTGGGTGGAATTCTCGTCTAGGCGAATAATTTTCATCACCGTGGAATAAAAATCATTGATCTCTCAAGCCCTCACTCCAGCATAAACACCCCCAGCAATGACCGGTCAAAACCGGTCATGGATGAGAGTAAACTCCCCCAAAATGCCCCCAGAGAGGAGCGGTCAAAACCCAACGGGGGGGTTGACTCCCATTGATGACCGGTTTTGACCGGTCATCAATGGGGGTGTTTAATCCCATCGATGACCGGTCAAAACCAGTCATCGATGGGGGTGTTTGGGGGAGTTGGGTTTTGACCGCTCATCTCTGGGGGCATTTTGGGGGAGTTTACTCCCATCAATGACCGGTTTTGACCGGTCATTGCTGGGGGTGTTTATGTTGGAGTGAGGGCTTGAGAGATCAATGATTTTTATTACAAAGTGATGAAAATCATTCTTCTAGACTAACTAGAAACTCTGTGACATCTGTCGCAGTCGAGTCTATGACTATGTCACAACATCCCCCCCCCCCTTGACAAGACACTGATAAACAAGTATGAGAAACAAAGAGAGGAAAGGATAAGGTAGAAAAGAAAAAAAAGAGAAGAGAGGAAAAAAAAATTGAGAAGAATTAGAGTTAAAAAGAGACTAGGGATCATAGGAGCCTTGTAAGATTGTTGAGCATTGTGAGTGTGCTGATTTTCCTAGTGCTTTAGTCAGAACATCTGCAATTTGATTGGTTCCAGGGATCCACTTGAGAGAGGTCTTCCCCTCATATAGGGCCTGATTTGTCACATAGTATTCCCGCTCAATGTGATGTGTCCTCTTGTTGGATGCTTCTTCACAACCGATTTTCACCGCAGATTGGTTGTCACAATAAATTTTGACCACAAATTCGCAGCCAATGATATCATATAGTAGATTACGAATCCACAGGCAATGTCTGGTTGCGTGACCCAATGCCATGTACTCCGCTTGGCATGTGGAGCTTGCTACTGTTACCAGGCGTCGAGAGACCCACATTATTGGGCAGCCGTATAGTTGTATGACTGTGCCGTAGGAAGATCTCAATGTCGCTCCTCCCCAATTAGCATCACAGTAGCACTCAACCGGAGTTTTGTTGACTTCCTTTGGGTGTAGACGGAGTGGGATTGTCTTGGTTGCTGCCACGTATCCAATGAGATGGTTCAGGCCCTTCCAGTGGATGTCCGAAGGCCTTGATGAGAATCTGGCCAAGTAGTTGACCCCGTAAGCAATGTCTGGTCTAGTGCCCACGGCCACATAGCTAAGACTACCCACAATTGAAAGGTAATCTCGTGGGTTGATGCCTATCTCATTGGGATCGAGAGTTGCTGTAAAGCCTTCAGGTAATGGTGTCGCGTATGTCGAATGTCCGTCCCATTGTTCCTTCAAAACCTTCTTGATCAAGTTTGGTTGGGTTAACTCAAAACCCTCAGCGGTTCTGTTGATCTTCACTCCGACCATGCTAGAAATCCCCTCATTCCATTTGATTTCAAGGCTGCCCTTGAGTTGTTGTTCGAGGAGCTTCAGTGCGTCAACCGATGATCCAGTAACAATACCATTGTCCGGTGTACCCAAATTATGGAACGGTCGGTCTTGTTGCTGAGAGTGTATACACTGGAGTCGTAGTAGCTGGATTCATATCCAAGAGATGATAGGGTACTACTGAGATGTTTCCACCAGCACCGTGCAGCCTGTTTCGTGCCGTATAACGCCTTCTCGAGTAGGCAGGCCTCCCCATCTTCAGTCGCCAGACCCTCTGGTGCCTCCACCCATACCTCTTCATCTATTGGGGCGTTGAGGTATGCCGCCACAAAATCAAAGTTGTATACCGGCCAGTTATTCTTCGCAGCAATTGTCAGAAGTACTCTCATGGACGTAAAGGTTGCTTTTGGTGCAAAGGTATGTGCAAAATCCGTTCCTTCCTTCTGGTTGTAACCTTTTGCCACATAGCGTGCCTTGTACTTGATTGATCCGTCATCATTAACCTTCTTAGCAAACACCCATTGTGCGCCCAACTTGCGTCGGTTGCCAGGGAGCTTGCAAACCTTCCAAACCGATTTGCGTCGGAGGTTCTCCAGTTCTGTGTCAACGGCCTTCTTCCATTCACCTGCCTTGGGCGATTTCATGGCTGATTTGAAGTTGTGGGGAACTTTCATGGAAGTGTCCGTGCAGTTTGCAAGGCAGGAGTCGACTGATTGCTCTTCGAGCTTGACCCTGTCTTCCTCGGTGAAATCTCCTAGGCGCAGTTCTTTTGCTTCTGACTGTTTTGGTTGAGTTGATTTTGCCGGTGACTCCTTCATGATTGGTTCAGGCACTGATTCTGGGCATTTAGTTGACGGGTCTGTAGCAGGTGGTGGCGATGGTAGAGAGTTGCGCCCAAAATCCACCCAGGCAGATGATATTAGCTTCTTTGATTCTGGTATCCAGAAAGTCCAGCCTTTCGAGTTGGGGAGGTGAGATACTACCATTCCTTCAACTGCACGGTCGTCAAGTTTGGTCCTTTTCTCCAGGGCTGTTGTGATAAAAGCTGTTGAGCCAAACACACGTGTTCGGTCCAATTGGGGCTTGTCGCCAAAAAAACATTTGTAAGGCGTTTTGTCCTTGGTGACTCGATTGGGTATCCGATTCAGAGTCCAGGCTGACCACATGAAAGCATAGCCCCAGAATTGTTTTGCTGAGTCAACTGTCGTAGAGGATACTCCTTCCCATATCTGCCACGGTCCGGTTGTATTGCTCTGCAGCTCCATTCTGAAAGTGGTGGTTGGGGAGGGATCTCTCTCCTAGTATTCCTTTATCCGATAGGAACTTAGCAAACACTTTAGATTCAAACTCACCGCCATTGTCAGACCTTAGTATCTTTAAACGGCAACCAGTCTGTGTTTCCCATCGGATTGTTGCCTCCATGATGGAATCCGCTGCCTCAGCTTTAGTCTTGAGGATCTTAACTTCACTGTAAGAGGTGAATATATCTCGAATTGTAAGTGCATATTTACCTCCTGTCATGGTCTGGTGTGAAAGGTCCCATCAGGTCAACACAAACTACTGAGAGTCGTTCTAGACACCTGTTGGTTGGTCCCAGGACTGATTTGCGAGTTGCCTTACATATAGAACAAACTGGACACTTGATGGAGCCACTGGGCATCTTGGTCGGGAGACCATAGCCAAGTTGTAGCTTCACTAGTCGTCGAATTTTCCTCAAACTAGCATGGCCAAACAATCGGTGCCAAAACAGTAGTATCTTCTCATCAGGTGTCAAGTCTTCTTTTTTCCAGGTGAACTCGCTTTTTTCAATGAGATTGGGAGATTTGAAAATAGATTGCAATTTTATGTCATGTTGAGCAGGGCTGTTACAAATGGATAGGCTATTGATAGGAGAAACACCAGCATTCCTGATTGGTCAAGCAAGCGGCCAGGTGTT